ATGTGTTGATTAGGTCAATGCCTTGATGGAGTTCGAAGATGAGCATTTTCCGCTTAGGGTAAGCAGAGATAAGCAATTTGATTGGTTGATGCTTTGGGACACGATAACTTTAGTTCTAATTAAGTGAGATTGATGAAACTTGGTGTATAGATTTATTATATGAATACCTTAACTAAGTTCGATAATGAACATTTTTTGCTGAGGGTAAGCAGAGTGATAAGCAATTTGATTGGTAGAAACTTTGGAACACAATAACTCTCCTTCTAATTGAGGTAGAATGTTCAAACTTGGCATAGGTGTCTATTAGGTGAATGTTTAAACTTGATGTATATGTAGATGTTCATTAGGTGAATGTCTTGACTGAGTTCAATAATTAACATTTCGAGCTGAAGCTAAGCAGAGCTAATCGATTTCATTTGTCGATGGTTTGGGACAAGATAATCTTGATTCTATCTGATAGAGAGTGATGAAACTTAGTGAAAAAAATAAATGTGCGATTAATTAATATGTGTCATCTATTTATTTTGCAATTTCGGCGGGGGACATCAGCCTCACTGTTGGCTTGTTTTGGATGTTTGCATCCAAGGGCCACTATTCTGTGTTGGGAAATAATATCTTCAGCCTTGTTGATGTTGAGACTACTATGCAACAAGATGGGTGTCACTTTACCTTGCCCTTAAAATGTTTATACCCCTAAGATCATGGTTCCGTTTGATATTATCGTATGTCGGACTGTAAGATCCTGGTTTATGGTCCCTGATTGTATGAAAAATTGCTTTTTAGCTTGTTCTCTGTCCATGGAATAGCCTGTCATGCAATTTGAAATTTCACACAGCTGATCGGAAATCCCCTACGACGAAGCTAGATAGAATCCTGTATCAGTGATATCCGGACATGGATGAATCAAACCAAATCAAAGCTAACAGAGAGATAGATTTTATTACATAAAACACCCTTTTCGGGCAGCATTACCATGGCCAAAATAGCATGTACCAACCAAATTTTATTTTTTGAGCAATTGCTTTAAAATTTTGCAGAAACAAGCCCCCAAACATTAGAATTTTAAAACAGTTTAAATTTTTAGAATCAGACTTACAATCTATACTTTTTTTTTATTCAATTTTCGTTAATTTATTTTTTGGTCCGAAATCGAAATCTGATCCCAAAAGTGGTTATTTGATTTCAGTACAATGTAAAAAAAATTTTTTCGATGAATTGACATGAAACTTTGTAGAATATAGTGTTGAAAATCGGATCAAGATTTGTGATCCGAATACTTTTGTTTGCTATCCGAATACTATTCGTCGGATAATTCGGAAACGTGAAATTCTTGAACAAAATCACATCAAAAGTTCATATACTCATAATTTCTTACTTATTGCAATGTCTGTGTATGCCGAGTATGAAATCTAACTTTCGATTTGATAATTGTTTGAGCTGCGAAGAAAAAAAACGTGCCTACCTTTAGCCGCAATTATTAAGACTATCCATGATATCCAAAAAAATCAACGAGGTGAATAAATTTGTGTATAACTACTCCTGTAATCCGCGGCCCTCCCACTTATCATTTTTGCTCAATCAACACCAATGAAAAAAGTAAAATAAAAACATCTAACATTTATTCCGCCAAGGTCGTTTGCCTCATTCTGATAATCTACTGCTATTGAACCAATCAGTAAGTGAGAATATACGTGATCTAGGTCGTTATGAATAAATTACATGGCGGGAAGTCTAAACACAGTGTTAACTTGTATCCCGTAAACCCAAGAAGTAGTTGAAATGTGGCCGTATATTGTTACCGCCCCTTTCCGTCCGTCTGTCGGTCCGGCGACCACAAGCTCTAGAGGCTAAAGTTAATATCCGATTGACTTTAAATTTATATACAGTGTTTAAGGCCATGAAACGAAGAATCCTATTGATTTTCAGCGATTTCTGATAATTACTGCTAGATTTATAGCCCTTGATCACTTCAAAAAATCTTGTGGATGCTCTAAAGGCCAAAGTTAATATCCGATTGACTTTAAATTTATACACAGTGTTTAAGGTCATGAGACGAAGAAGCCTGTTGATTTTCAGCGATTTCCAATAATTACTACCAGAAGCCTATTGATTTTCAGCGATTTCCGATAATTACTGCCAGAGTTGTGGCCCTTGATCACTTCAAATAATCTTGTGGCGCTCTACAGGCCAAAGTTAATATCCGATTGACTTTAAATTTATACACAGTGTTTAAGGTCATAAGACGAAGAAGCCTATTGATTTTCATCGATTGGCTGATAATTACTGCCAGAGTTGTGGCCCTTGATCACTTAAAAAATTCTTGTGGACGCTCTACAGGTCAAAGTTAATATCCGATTGACTTTAAATTTATACACAGTGGTTAAGGTCATGAGACGATGAAGCCTATTCATTTTCAGCGATTTCAGATAATTACTGCCAGAGTTATGGCCCTTGATCACTTTGAAAAATCTTATGGATGCTCTAGAGGCTAAAGTCAATATTCGATTGACTTTAAATTTATACACAGTGTTTAAGGTCATGAGACGAAGAAGTCTATTTATTTTCAGTGATTTTCGATAATTACTGCCAGAGTTATGGCCTTTGATCACTTCAAAAAATCTTGTGGACCCTGTAGAGGCCAAAGTTAATATCCGATTGACTTTAAATTTATACACAGTGCTTAAGGTCATGAGACGAAGAAGCCTATTGATTTTCAGCGATTTACGATAATTACTGCCAGAGTTATGGCCCTTGATCACTCTGAAAAATCTTGTGGACACTCTGGAGGCTAAAGTTAATATCTGATTGACTTTAAATTTAGACACAGTGTTTAAGGTCATGAGACAAAGAAGTCTATTCATTTTCAGTGATTTTTGATAATTACTGTCACAGTTATGGCCCTCGATCACTTTAAAAAATCTTGTGACGCTCTAGAGGCTAAAGTTATCATCCGATTGACTTCAAAATGATACACAGAGTTTAAGAGCTTGAGACGAACAAGTATATTGATTTTCAATGAATTTTTATGACTTGAACAGCTAAATCCATGATATTAAAAGTTTTGTATACTAAACGTTAGCTTGGGGCAGAACTTTATAAAAACGAAACAAATTATAATGGTTTTCTGATAATTACTTCATGAGTTGTTACTCTTAATCAGATTTTGGTGTATTATAAACGTTTCATTACCGAAAGAAGTAAAAATATGCGACAACACTTGTTGACTGCCCGGACGATTTAGCTGCTGTGGGTGTATGTTTCGTTGCCTGGCAACCTATCTTATGTAATAATTGATTCATTCAGAAAATTCGGGTGACAAAGAAATTTTTCCGGCAAATAGGCTCAGCCCCCCCTAACCAACCCCAGACCCCCAACTGCCAACTCCCAACTGATATTGGCTCCCTACACTCATATAGGTCCTTACCTTTTGTTCCATCCGATTCTGTTTGTTGAATCAAATATTGTTTAAACTGTTGTTCCCCCTCCCATCCGAACGACTGGGCATTGTCCTTCCAGCCCACTCCCATCCCGTACCACTGACCGGGCGGGAGGGGTGGTGCATGGGGTTGTCTTGTACATGTACATATCTAATCTGTGTAAGTGTAGTAAATGTAAAAATGAAACAAAAAGACTGTTAAAGAAACGAATTTGATAATTATACATGTAGTGACAGTGATTGTGATAACGACCAACTTTGATGACATTTAAAGTTACAATTTCATATTTTCTAAGAAAGTCAAAACATATTTATTTCTATGTCTTTTGCTCAATAGGTTTTCAACTCACTATTATATGATCATACAGTAGGTTATCTTTATCACTTAAAAATCTTCACACCGGAAATAATAATACGTTACACAATTACACCCTATTCTTTACCTATTCCCCAGCATGGAATAGCTATCTTCAAATGTTTGAATTTGAAGTTGAAAATGATATTTTTGCCAATTTCTCAACTGGCAATAGTGAATTATAGGATTAATAGGATTATTCTTTAACAAGGTAGGACTGTTTATACATGTACATTTAGATACCATCTATTTTAGGGCTTTATTTTAATACATTTTAAAAATATGAAATTGTAAGTGCAGAGTAACTGCGTAATTTTGATTTTCAATATTGTTTTACTTACATAAATAATTAGTTTTTTTTCTTGTATCTATATTTGTTAGCAAATTGCACAATTATAGATACAGTTTCAGTTTAAATGTTTGTAATTCGACGTTAATTATCTGAACTAGAGGTGTACAGCTACCTGTAGTAAAAATAATGTAGGGTCTAATTGAAAGGGTATGTGGGCGTGGGTTTATGGTTAACTGGAAAAAATCATGTGGTTTCAATGCGATTCACAACACTACAAAAGTACACAAGAGTCCGGTCTCCATTACTTCATAGACATACATGTATTGCTCAACCAATGTCAACATATATCTCCTTGCTCATCAGGCTAGGCGCTCCGCCCATAATTTCTGGGTAAACACCCGCTCACCAACCCTTGGGCTTGTGTGCTCACACATGGTGTTGTGCGTCATACAGCTTCAGCAGTCAACACACACCTGAAATACTGTTATCAACTTCACAATTGTTAGTATAAATATAGCATTTACTTGAAAATTATCACAATTTTCATCTGGCCCTAAATCGAGTTAGTGCAAACATTTTGCTTGGAACTCTCTGGATTTGTGTTCCTTGTGTTATAAGCTTTCCAAAAATGTATAGTTTGTTTATTAGGGAGGATCATGTAGCGGAATTGTGTTTCTAAGCAAGCTAGAAATTTTGGCTGCAGGCTTAAGGGATTTGAAGCAAACTTTTGACAGATAAGTTATTTTGAATATGATTTTAGTACAAATATATGATAAAATCTCACAGTTTGACATGGGAAGGCATGTTGAATTTTAGGTGCACAATCAAATGATTTAAATTACATGTATTATAATTATTGAGACCATGATATTATTTTCATTGATCCTTAAATGTATTTTTTTGTTTTCTGTTTTAAGTGAAAGAACTTTGTGCATTATATCGTATGACAGCAACAGATATTGTCAATGAATGGATAGCTTTTTCTCAAACCAAAAAAGGAACCCAGTTAATTGCAGAAAATTTAGAAGCCTTTGACAGAGAGGTATTATTTATATATCTTGTCCTTGAATTTAACATTCAAAAATAAGTTTCAGCTGTGCATGCACAGGCCTCGAAATGTTTTTAAAAAAATTGTACGTGTCACAAGCGACAGGTAGCTTTTCTTCATATCTGTCGCTTCAGTAAATAACCTGTCACTCTCAATTATCAAAGACCAATCACATGACACATATCCATACATGTAGGTACACTCACACACTCTTGAATCGTTTAGGTCTTGACGTACATTGCTCCATATAAACAGGCCTGGAAATAACGGTTTTACATGTACCTGACAAAATGTCAGGCACTAATGAAATAGTACCGGACATTTTCAACTTAGTGCCAGACATGTATTAATAATATCAGTGCTGGACAAAATGACAGGCACCAGAGGTTTAGTGCCTGACAAAGTCTGCATCTGTGCCACACATGTCAGTGACAGGTGCTTTATTTCCAGGCTTGCATATAAATATCATAATATGAAACCTTTTTATACACCCACATTTTCATGTGGACGTATATTGTCGTCGCCCCTGTCCGTCCATCCACAATTGTTTGTGGACACTCTACAGGTCACAATTCTTATCCGATTTTGAAATATAAGTTTATCTCCAAAAGATCTCGGCTGCTTTCGATATTGCATGTATCTGATCGAAACTTCATGGATTATGGCCCCTGTTTGTACACAAAATCACGTTTTTAGCTTGTGAACCCTATAGAGGTCACAATTTTGATCCGATTTTGTTGAAACTTGAAATGTAAGTTTATAACCCAAAGATCTCGGTTCCTTTCGATATTCGTGCATATCGGACCGTAACTTCCTGAATTACGGCCCCGATTGTACGAAAAATCGCGTTTTTAGCTTGTGGACCCTATAGATGTCAAAATTTTTATCCGATTTAAAAAACGTATTATTATATCACCGTTAAACCCAAAGGACAGCTGAGTTCGAATTTCGTGAAAATCGGCCCAAAATTGACAGACAATATGGCTGCCGTTCGTTCTCAAATAGCGTAAAAATATGGTATATCAAGGTTGTGGACCCTATAGAGGTCACAATTTTTATCCGATTTTGTTTAAACTTAAAATGTAAATTTATTGCCCAAAGATCTCGGTTTCTTTCGATATTCGCGCATATCAGACCGTAACTTCCTGAAATATGGCCCCTGATTGTACGAAAAATCGCGTTTTTATGTTGTGGACCCTATCGAGGTCATAATTTTTATCCGATTTATAAAAACGTATTATTATACCGTTACACCATAAGGACGGCAGAGTTCGAAGTTTGTGAAAATCTGCCCAAAACCCTATAGCGGTCATAATTCTTATCCGATTGAAAAAATGTTTGAATATATCACCGTTATACCCTAAGGATGGTTGAGTTCGAATTTCGTAAAAATCGAACTAAAACTGAAAAACAAAATGGCCACGCCTCGGTTCCTTTCGATATTTGCGCATATCGAATTGTAATTTCCTGAATTATGGACGTTGATTGTAGGAAAAATCACTTTCTTTTTAGCTTGTTCTCTATCCATCTCTCAAAAATGTGGCCGTATCCTGCCTGGCAGCCGCTGGTTATTTCTTCGACATCAGAATCGTACAATTCTATCATCCGTATCCACACGAATTCCGCCAAGATTTGTACCAAACTTGCGTACTAAATCGAATACTTCGCCATTGAGGTGTAGAATTCAGATTTTAAAATATCTGTAATACATTGATTATCAAAACACGAATCACACCTGTACATGGTACCGTACATGTATTTGCATGGTACCGTATTTACATGTACCGCGTGCGGAGGACAAGTAACGCCCCCTGGAATTCCTTTCTCACATATCCTGTCTATATTTACGCTACAAATTATATTTAAATATGAAATATTTTTCTTATCTAATTATTTGATTTAGTAAATTTTCTTATAAATTATTCATAGCCTTTATTTATGGAAATTGTTTTAAACTTTTTAAATGATTAAATACACCAGGCAACGTGCCGTGTGCATTTCCATTCCAGCTACCACTATATTTTCTGTGGTGTCGTTATGATAGAACTATTTTAGATTACCTGAGGGAGTGTTTTAATTTATTTAGATGTAATACTTCATAATGCTATAAACTAGTGTCAAGCAGATGAAAACAAGCGTAGATGGTTTAAAATTCATTGTTATTAAAATTGTCTACTTCCAAACTGTGTGAGTAACTGTTGCCTACGACAGAGCGAAATGTAAACAGTGCAGATGCTTAATTCTTGCATTTAGAAACGAATAATTAAATGTACGTGACACGAATAATTAAATGTACGTGACGTGGACGTGAGTATTGTGGTCTTACGTCAATTTACTGAACAGTGAACATCAAGTAAAATTTAGTCCACCTGTCGGCGACAAGTAGACAGGCGAATATTTCGAGCCATGAATGCATCATCCTTGAAGATTGTTGCTGTAAATTACCTTTGACTACATGTATCTGTACATCCAACCACCATTTTTTTCTGTTGACACTTTTTGAGGCCTTAAATATTCATAATTCAATCTTTCTGAAATTTTTCATACACAGTTTATTTTACCTACAGGAAGAACCCCCTTTTTATATGCCCACAATGCGAATCATTTTTTATACGCCCACGTGGAAATGTGGATGTATATTGCCCCCGCCCGTATGTCGGTCGGTCAGTCCGTCCGTCTATTGTTTACATTAGTGAGATGAAGAAGCCTATTGAACTATTTAATTTCAATAATTTCCATTTATTATGTCTAGAGTTATGGCCCTTGTTTCACTTTGTTGAACCTTGTGAACGCTCTAATACCAAAAGTTAACATCAGCTCTTTATGAAATTTATATGCAATATTTAAATTAGGGATACCAGCCTATTGAATTTCAGCAATTTCCGTTTATTATGAGTTATGGCCCTTGTTTCACTTTATTGAACCTTGTGAACGCTCTAACGCCAAAAGTTATCTCCCAATCTTTGTAAAATTTATATGCATGATTTAAATTAGTGAAACGAAGAAGGCTATTTAATTTCAGCAATTTCTGTTCATTATGTCTAGAGTTATGGCCCTTGTGTCACTTTATTGAACATTATGAACGCTCTAACATCAAAAGTTATCTGCCGATCTGTATGAAATTTGCCTGCATCATTTAAATTAGTAAAGAGAAGAATCCTATTGAATATTACTTGTATGATCTGTATGAAATTTGCCTGCAACATTTAAATTAGTAAAGAGAAGAATCCTATTGTTTATTACTTCTAGAGTTATGGCCCATGTTTCACTTTGTTCAACCTTGTTTATGCTCGATTGATGAAAGTTATCATCCGATATGTATGAAATTTATATGCATCATTTAAATTTGTGAAACGGAGGTCCGTCAATCATTTCTAGGATTATGATGTATGTGAACCTTACGTGAACGTTTGAATGACAAAACTAATCATCTGATATATACTATTCAAAAAAAGTAGGGGATATTTGATTTTTAAGTGTTATTAAAGTCACCTAATGAAACTGACGAAGAAACAAATGACAAAATGAAATGAAGTTCACATTCATCGATTTATTCCAAATGATCGTTAGACTAAGTAAGGCACAGACTGACCATTATAAGGGTAAAATGATACCCGGGGTCAAACAGCAAAGTTACCACGGCATCACAACCAAGTCAGTAACGGGTAAATCCTCCTCTGTTTGCCAAACAAGCATTGATCCGACGTGGCATACTCCTAATGAGACGTCTAAGGTCATTTTGGTCCAGATTGTCCCATTCCTGTTGCAACGCAGCAGCAAGTTCTTGGACATTGGCAGGACGTTGTTGACGTTGACGTAACCTCTGTCCAAGCATGTCCCAGACATGCTCGATGGGGGAGAGGTCGGGACTCAGTGCTGGCCAAGGTAATGTGGTGATGTTCTGTTGTTGGAGGTAACCTGTAACGATCCTGGCCCTGTGACATCTTGCGTTGTCATCCTGGAAGATGAAACGGCGGCCATGACGTCTTGCGAACGGCACAACATGGACTGCCAAGATGTTGTCCCGGTAGTACTGGCCTGTAACACGCCCTGCAACAACATGTAAAGCCGTTCTTCCAGCAACAGTGATGCCTCCCCACACCATAACAGAACCACCCCCAAATCGATCATGTCTGATGACGTTAACGTCTTGGAAGCGCTCGTTTGGACGACGCCACACCCTCCTACGTCTGTCCAAAAAATCAACAGTGAACCTTGACTCATCTGAAAACATCACATTGCTCCAGCGTCGATTATCCCAGTGTTGACGATCCCTACACCAACGACGTCTTGCCTGAATGTGATGATCTCTCAAACAAGGGATCACGCGAGGACGTCGGGCGCGAAGGTGACCCCAATGCAGTCGATTCCGAATCGTCTGGCCACTCACTCTCACACCAGTGTCTGTTTGAAGACGAGCGCTGATCTGATTTGCTGTGATGACACGATTTCTCAAGGCCAAGGTACGGATAAATCGATCCTGGGCTTGAGTTGTCGCCCTTGGTCGACCTGAGCGTGGTCTGTCCTGTACAGATTGTGTATCACGGTATCTGGACCATAGCCTGCTTATGACAGATTGAGAAACATTCATCGTCCGCGCCACAACCGCCTGTGTTGTGCCGATCTGTAGCATGCCAAGGGCACGTAACCTTTCATTTTGGGTAAGCCGACGCATATCAAAATTTGTTTTCTGGTCACTAAAACAATTAAACTGATGTTTCCACCCTGGAATTCAATGCCAAAATGACTGTAACATTCAAAGTCAGAGTCGTGCAAATCTTGGGTTGGACCCCCATGATGATTCCAAGCATCACCTGCATTCCATGCGGTAGCTATTGGTGCGTTTGGGCGTCACATGTAACTGGAAATGTTTCTTCTGTTAGGTTCTATAGTGACTTTTTTCGTAGTCATTTTCATATTTTAGTATTATGCCCCCAAAATCAAATATCCCCTACTTTTTTTGAATAGTATATATGAAATTTATATGTATTATT